CCAAGTATGTATGAATTATGAGTGTTGGGCCTGCATTTCATTTACCCAGTCATTAGATTCATATTACATGGTGCATGTAAAAGATTCCTCTTGTTATTGTTGCCGTGCATGGAAAGGCATACAGCAAGGGCTCATAGATACAAAATTTGAAAGTTGCATTTGTGAAGAAAATAAAATGGCAAGGAAAGTTGCCAGTAATATGAACAATATTTGTGTATACATTCAGACACACTATCTTGGTGTTATTAAGATTTTGGCCGGCACAGTTAAAAGTAATCTCAGTATGGCAAATATTAAAAATAAAAAAAAATATGACTTAACTCCCACAAGTCTTCGACTTTGTTATTAGTGAAGGCCAGTATTAAAATTCATAAGTGTTATGTTTTTTGGGTAACATTGTTCATGTGCTTAATTAAGCACTATGCCATAAAGATGAATGGACAAGTGGTGGTATAGATTTACACATTCTTAACCTTGCACTAGATGGAGACAAGTGAAAGATCTCCCAGAAACCCATTGTTTAGGAGGTGGCAGTATCTTCAGAGCTGGCCAGAGAAAAATACCTGCTTGTGTTGGTTGTCCATTTCATTGGCAGTCACATTGAAAACTGAACTATCCTAGATCATAGAATGTTATTGTATTGGTTAATCATAGAATTATGTGCAAAAAATACAAAATTATTTGAAAATGCTTGTTGAAATCAAAGTTAAGTCAGTTCTGGCACCTTATGTATGTTTTAATGCCTTATGTTCCCAGGAAATGCTTGAAAATTGAAAACCACGAATGAATAAGCAAGACTGTTTTATTGCATTGTACACTGTGAATTCTGAGAAGTGTGATTTTACTGCTTATGTCACAGGATTGGTAAACTTCGAATATAGGCAACTCTCGGTTAACAAACATTCGATTTACGAACATTCACTATAACGAATGTCACAATTCATTAAAAATTTCTTAAAGTCGCCAATAGATAGAGTACCTTATAAAACGAAATACGAAACGCATAGTGAACATAATTGTAAGATTTAAATAAATAAACTTTTAAAAAAATGTATTTATTACAATAATTATCAGAAAATTATTATATGATAATTATACTGAATTGTTCTTGGTTAATAAAACTAATCTAGCCAGTTATTTTATTTTACGTTATGTATCGTATACGATAAACCATAACGTATACATACATTATAATAAAACGTATTGTATAGACCATTCAATGTTTAATACATGGTTTTAATGCTTTAAAATGGCTGCTAACGTATACGATACATACTGTAAAAGCTCAGGAATGCAAGATACACATAATGAACAAAGACGTATAACGAACGTCTTGGAACAGAATCATAAAAGTAGACTGAAACAAGCAGATTTGATCATGACTCATTACTGTTTATTGAACTGCCTAGGAGTTTTTGATATTTTTAGAAAAAATTATATCAAAAGAGAAGTGAAAATGGACAGTGGAAGCAATTTGAAACTTCATTTGACTTTCATTTCTGCCCGACATAGGAAATTTGTTAGGAGGAGTAATAAATATGCAGTTATTTTGCTGTAGGTCTGTTCCTCTGAATCTTACTTCCAACAACAGTCAATCTCAGCTAGTTCCTACTCCACAGCCTCAGTCGGAGCTGGACCAGATGTTTTCAGGTCTAGGGTTGGACGTCTTCACAGGAGGGAAAGAAACAGATACAACTCCAAACACTCGTCAAATCAATGGGATTGCTAATGCTAATATTTCACTTAATTTAGAAGATAAACAAAGGTATGTATTGTTTGCTTTATGACAGTTTATCTGAAGGTAGGTATACAATTGTTGTGTGTCACTGTAAAAGCCTATAATTCCCTGTGCATTATGAACTTTGTAATCAAATTTTAGAAGCTTATTAAGTTAATTCTTCAATGCCATCCAATGTACACAATACACAGGCATTTCTTCACATGTCATCCAACATACGTAACATGCCTTGTGCAACAGTAAATTAATTCTTTTGGTTCGAAATCAAAATTACAGTCTTTCAGCTTGTATATGTGTATTTGTACTTTAATTTACCTGCTATAAGAAAGCAAGACTACATAAATTTTATATATAACCATTTGTCACTAAACCTTGCAGATTAAAATTTATTAAATTTTCATATCAAATGTTGTCTTTGTAAAGGATCAAGAGATTAAAATGCTGCACATTTTAAATAAAAAGATATTTGGTTAGGTTGGACCCACCTATCGACTTTACATTCCAATGTGAACATAACCTTGCATCAGTTTATGGTTCCGTTATATTGCAAAGAATAAGATTTAGAAGGTGCTGCAGTTATAACAGCATGCTGAAAGAAAGAGGTTAGAATACAACTTAGAACTGTTTATTGAATTTTGAAGTAGTTTTAGTTTTTGTATAGAATGTTTTATAAAAAAAATTCTGGTTCTGTGATGGTTGGAATTTTCTTTTCTTGTCAGTCACTGTATCTTTAACAGGTTGACAAGGCAACAGGAGGCTCAGCAAAGATTGCAAGCTCAGCCCATACTCAGTCCATCTACTCCAGCACAGAGTAAAACACAGACTCAAGTAAAGGATCTAACATCCACATTAGTTGAAAACAATTTAAACCAGACAAAATATACTTGGCCACCCCTACAGACAGGAGACCAAGTGGGAGGAACTGGGTGGCAGAATACTGTCAGGCCTGCAGCTTCTCCACAAGGCTTTGGTGCCTTTCAACCAGCTCCTGTGGCTACTCACTGGCAGTGGCAGTCACCACCTGCACCTTGCGCATCATCCCAGCAGCCTGTGTTCACAGGCTCACATCAGACAAGTTCCCTTGATTCGCTTCTTCCGGCTACAACTAAGCTTCCAATGAACAGAATGCAGACACCGCTGCAGCAGCCTCTCGTAATGATGTCACCATTCCAGCAGTCAAAACCGCAGCAGACTAAAGTACTCTCTTCCTCTGAAATCAATGACTTCCTTAGCTAGTGTATATTCTTAGCTTACTGTGGCCTGTGTTCAGGTTTTAAAGGGCTTTTAGAACCAGATTGGCACAGAACCAGAACTTGTGCAAAGTAAGTGCAGGTATCATTACCGGTATACCAACCCTATTGCCTGTCTTTTCATAGTGAATAGTGGGAAACAGAATTGGCTGTAACAAACTGCAGATTGTCTTTGACTCTATCTGCTTGTCTTTGTCCAGAATAGTGCTATGTTTAAAGGATTCTTTATTGTCGACCACTTGTATTTTAATTTAATTCTTTACCGACTGGCTATGGACTGGACGACCAGGTTTTGATCCCTGACAGGGGTGGAGGATCTTTCCTCTAGCCTCTGTGTCCAGATTGGTTCTGGGGCCCACCGGGCCTCCTATCCTATGGGTACCAGGGTCCTTTCCTGGAGGTAAAGCACAACTGGAGTGTGATGCTGACCACTCACCCCTGTCTAATGCTGAGGTAAAGAATGAGTAGGAGCTATACCTCCTCTTCCCCCAAGCGCCTGCATGGTGTATAGTGGGACAGCTTTACTTTACTTTGTACTGTAGTGATAAAGACTAACACTCAATTTTAAAAAGTTATTGTTGATTTGAGATCCTTTTGTGCTATCTCAGAGCCAGTCAAATGGCTAGACAAGTTCCACATAGAAATATTCATCCTATGAGCAGATTTCATGTGTGTTGATAAGGAAGTCCCTTTCAGAGATGAAAAGAGTGATTCAAACACTTTATCATAAAAGTGGTCTCCCCACATTTCATAAACCTAGCAGTTCATAATTTATTAACTAAATTACATAATCCAGCTTACAAGTTGAATGTATTATAATTAGTAAAAATATTTTACTTCTTGAAAATAACATTCAATTTAGTACAGTGTGTATTTTGTACCTTTGATGTGTATATTAACTTGGTATATTCAGAAATTTACGTGCCAATTAAATGAACATGTCTGCCATGTCGTACTTTGTTTCAGTTGCATGTTGGTTTTTGCTGCATTTGTATATATATATATAGTTCAAAGAGTTTTGAAAAAGAAAACAATCCTTATTATAAACAACTGCTTTTAGGTGTAGCACAATACAGTTTGGTTTCATTCTGTCTGATCCTGGAAGTCCCCATAAATGTTTAGAATATGTACAGACTCTTAAGTATCATTATGCATATATTGGAAAATAAACTAAAGAATTCTAAATTAATTTTATTTGAATTGTTAAAATAGATGATTATGAATGGATTTTTCCATGGATATAAATGCCAGTAGCTCCAATCGTGATGAATGTGTGGAAACAGCACTAGAAAAATACAAATACAATACAGTAACTGAACTTTCCTTGATGTGTTTGTTCACAAGTAATTGTGTTCCCTTGGTCTGTGGTCTCCAGCTAGTTACTTTTGAACTAATTACCTAAAGTTAACATCTGTGGGTGATTTTTATTGTTGCTTAGGGAAATGTGAAGTTTGAGGAGTTTACTTGAGTATTGAGTCCTGCACACAGCATGGATTATTGTGTGTTACATTTCATCAGATTGGCTCTTGGATAGCACAAAAGGAACTGTATTGATGGTGCAGTACTGCTAACTGTTATATGTGCCTGCCATGTATTATAGTTGTACTAAAAGATTGTAAATCAGTTTTGCTGTATAAATATTAGAATAATGTGATATACCTTAACATATTTTTTCTTACAAGATTTAGCTGATTGAAAATTAACCCTTTGACAAGTATGAACACACCAGAATATTTAGCATCACAGTGCTGCATGGAGTATGAACATATCTGTATGTTTTCCACTTGCCTTGTCCTGTAGAGTGCACACACAAGGAAATATTTGCTTTGCTAAGGACAAAAAGATTTGATAATCTAATTGTACTGAGTGGTCAGTTTGTTTGTTTCTCTCTTACTCATAATATTCTTATCAAAAGTGGCATAAGTGATGGAATTTTATTGAGAGGAAACAAACCAACTCTGGCATTTAGGGTATGAGAATGGAACTGTGATAATGAAAATGGTTAGTAAACCTCCATTTTATCTTTAGGCACCCATGACTCTTCATCCCAGAAATTTATAAATGGTATTCTATTTATCTTCATTCAATACATATAGTACTGTGCTTTGTGATAGTCTTCAATTTCAATGTTAATGTTTGAAACATTTAACTTATATCTGAGTTTATTGGTGTTCTAGTCTTGTAATACACAACAAAGTATATAGAAACTTAATTTCTGTTTCTAGACTTTTGGTGTCCCTTTTCTTAAATACCTAGGCCTTGTTACCATACTTCAAAGTTGCTTATGATGTAATGTATATTATTTATTTTTGTTTCTGTTGACATATGTTTTGCATAATCTATAATGTTGTTCCCTTAAATGATAGTATGCCTTTATTGTTTCTAAGAGCTCCACAGCTTCAGGTCACTGTTAGCATGGGTACATGCAGCGTGGTAGACTTGAGTTCTTCATGTGGCCAAGATTGAATGTCACAATAGAATGGTTAGCATGCCAGCGTAGTGGCCACGCGGACTGAGGCATGAACCTCGTGCGCCTGGCCGCTGCGACCATGGGTTCGAGTCCCAGTCAAGGCATGGATGTTTGTTCACATCTTTCTGTGTTTGTATATGTAGAAGCCTTGCAGATAGAGCTGATCACTCGTTCTACCAAGGTCCAAAAAATAGATCAGTCATAAGCCTCCAAGAGAGGTAACAATGCAGACCCTGCAAATGTGGGACAAATGTGAATGAAGAAAATAAAAATAGAATTAATTTCTGGGAAGTGTCAGGTTCAAATTTTGTCCTGGAGTCTGGTTATCATGTCTGAGCTTTTGTAGTTTTACTCAGTCCCTTGAGGCAAATGCCAGCTTAATACTGTAAATTAAGCCACAACCACTTCCACTTCCACATCCTTCCAAATCCACTGTTTACTTGTCATCGTATCATTCTACAATTTGTGATCAGTGCTGTTGACAGCATCATTAAATTAACTATAATTACATTCATTTGACCAATAGATTGAAATTTACAGGGTTGAGGTCTACATCATGGAGTGCAGGAAACAGGGCTTTGGGCACATAATGATTCCAATGTACAGTACTATGTGAGAGGAGATATATACAGTGTGTTCGTAAAATAATGGTGGGGTAACAAAAAGTCATAGTTTTGGAACAAAGCATTATAAAGACATGAAATAAACGTCAAAATAAAGAGAGACTCCAATTTTTCGATACGTAAACAGGTTCTAGCGCAAGCGCATGAGCGCTGTGCTACAAGGTCAATAGCCGCGTGAAGCTTGTTAGTCGCCATGCAGAGGAAGGTTCAATGTGTTTTGTAGCTTGCTAAGTTTGAGTCAGTTACACTTGTTAGGTGTGAATACCGTCGTGTGTTTAATGAAAAACCACCACACAAAAATAACATTCGCCGTTGGGACAAACAACTCGGAGAAACGGGCAGCCTACTGAAGCAGTCACGTCCAGGACGACCATCAGTGTCTGACGGATACCATTGAAGCTGTGCGAGCAAGTTATCTGCGTAGCCCGAAGAAATCAGTGCGGAAGTGTTCCGTCGAGTTAGGCGTTTCAAAAACAACTACGCTTTACTGGTTATAAAATGTAGGTGTTACATAAAATTTATCCACAGGACAAAATTAAACGATTAGAATTTGCTACAGACATTCTGGATAGGTTAATTCAGTGGTCCCCAACCTTTTTGTGCCTACGGGCACGAGTTTATGAGATCGTGGTGGGCACCAACCAATTAACAAAGCCAAATTTTCTTTTCTCTGGACAAATAAGATATGGACACCAAATAATACAGAGCGGGCCCCCCCCCCCCCCCAAAAAAAAAAAAAAAAAAAAGCCTTGGCGGGCGCCCGCGGGCATCGCGTTGGGGACCACAAGGTTAGATCATGATGGGGAATTTTTAGACAAGTTTATGTTCAGTGATGAGGCTATGTTTCATGTTCGGGACGAGTCTATCGGCCTAATGTTAGAATATGGGGTAATGAACCTTCATATGTCATTATGGAACATCAACGTGATAGCCCAAAAGTTAATGTGTGGTGCGCAATTGGACGAGACAGAGTTATTGGCCCCTTCTTTTTTGCTGAACAAACTGTGACGGGAAAGAACTTCCTGGATATGTTAGAAGGGTATACAGTGCTCCAAATACCGGAGAATTTCATTCTCCAATTAGATGGAGCTCCTCCACATTTTGCCACATTCGTGCGGGATTACCTAAACCAAACATTTCCTCAGCGATGGGTCGGACGAGGAGGGTGGATAGCCTGGACTCCACGCTCTCCAAATCTTACCCGTATGGATTTTTATTTGTGGGGTTATGTGAAGCAACAAGTGAAGAAAGAAATCTGTTCTTATGCTTAGCAACATGCCATGGAGGAGTATGGGTAAGTTCTACTTATTATTAACCATGACACTAGATAGAGACTAGTCAGCTTCAGATTGTATTTAATCTCTGGATTCCTGTTGCAATAACCCTCAATATCAATGTGACAGGAGGCTGAGTGGGCACTGAAGCTGGTTTGGACACATGGAAAACAAAATCCATGCCTGTGTCTGCCAGAGATTGAACCTGTCATCTGGCCCACATAGCCAGCAAGTTCATTTACTGATCTGTCATGGTTCCCTGTTAGGCATTAGAGTCATGTGTACTTGAAATTTGATTAAGAATAGAAGGAGAATTATAATGTAGATCAAGAATCATTATCCCTACAATTTCACTGCTTGGAAATCTGCTTTACTTTTCACAAATTTATGGAAGATTATTCTCAGAATTCTTGCACTGGTCTGTGAGTCTAATTTTCCTACTTGACCATTGAAGGAAAGAAGGTTAATATATATTTACCCAAAATTATAACAAACTGTTTCTTCAACAATTATTTTGGTTTTCATTAAAGTTTAAGAAGTCCCTTCCAGTGTTGTTAGTATTTATATACCTGCAATGTAATATATACAGATTTTTCCATGTGTTCTTTTGAGTGAATTGTTTTCTTATACTACTGTCTGTAAGGAATTTGTTAAAGAATATTTAACCTTGTTTCCAGTCCACAAGTAAGCTCTTTGGCCAGCGCTGTAGTGTTTCATTTTTACATGTTTGGTCTCTTTATTTTGCAGCTAATAAATAACAATATTTTTATATATTCTTAAGGTAGAAGCTCAATCTATATTCTTGAAGTGTTATAGTGTTTTAGGAAGTTGTATACATTGTGAATATTAATTAATTATTAAGGTCTTTAAAACAGACAAACGTGCAGAGAATAATCATACTATCATGTATACTACACTAATTGTAGCTTTTACGCATTGTTTGCATGACATGCACACATGGGGCTGATCATGTCTGTTTGTCCACGATTTAACTTGAACTGCTAGACACATCTGAATGAAATTTGGTATGAATGTTAAGTTACTGAAGGCTATCATATAATTGTACTTTTTAATATCCTACAGTCCATAATACCAACATGGTGGATGAATGAACTTGTTAAGTGGGACATATACTACTGCATGCAGTGATGTACAGCAAGAAATGTAAAGCTGTCCCACTACATGCCATTATGGTACTGGGGGGGGGGAATTGCTCCATTTTTCATGGGTAAGAATATTTTCCTGAGTGCTTTGTTTTCTGACACTTATAATTTGCAATTTGTCTTCAAAGTAAAACACATCAAATGGAAAAATTGTTTGTATATGTTGATATTCTGCACTTTGGAAAGACGAGGGCAATGAAAGCATAAGTACGTTATTCCACACACAACAGGATGTGAAAAGGTAGATTGAACCATCTCTATAAATGTTTCACTTAAATAACTATCTTCAGTTATGAAACTGAACATACGTTGTGTTGTATATGTTGTAATATTATCTGATTATGTATCATATGTGTATGTTGTGGTAACATCTCCAGTAAGGATTGATACATTTGCATTACATAATATACTTTTGCAATGCTTGAAATGGTATTGATGTGATGAAAATTCTTGTATTTGAATATTAATTCCAACTCCTTCTAAGAGTTGACCAATATTTATCACTCTTCTTTTAATAAAACCTACTACTTGCATGTAGAATTATTAAATATGCATTCCTATACTAGAATAACAATTATGTCCATACACTATATCCCAGAAATTTAAGTGCTTGATTTTGTTCAAATAATGTTTTAAAACTGCTGTTGAGTTTGAATGAGATCTTCTTCATCCATACTCTTAGTTTAAAGGGAGAGTGAGGTTATATGGGATTACTATATGTATGTGTGCATGTAATTCTCAAAAAAGTAGGAATCGTCCAAGATATGCAACAGGTGCATAATTGGGAGTTGCATAATTAGTTTACTGCAGTGCAAATTGTCCCTGCATGTGAAATGTATGTGAGAGACAGACTGATTTATGCAATCATTCAATAAAGTGTGTTGAGAAATGTGAACTACCTAATTCTGGGAAACTAGTATTATGAAAACAATGAGGTCACATAAATATCTTAATTCTGTTCTGAACACAAAATTATTCATTAAAATGTAGTAAATTCCACACAAACCATTAAATTCGAGTTCAAAATTCACTTGTCCATGCAGTGTATTACTACAATATTTTTTTCGGAAATTTCGCAAATTTTTAGTTATTTTCGATTTTCACGACATAACCATTTCTAAATTTTTCAAAAAGTTTGAAAATTTTCAAATTTCAAATTTAATCAAAATTTTCGAAAAAATCAGAAAATGTAGAAAAACGTCCAAAAGCGCATCTGGTTTGGCAGAGACCGGTTCTTCTATGTATCTAGCAGTGAATTTTTTTAAAAAATTAAATTTTTTGAAAAATCAAAAAATGCTGGAAATTGCCTGAAAAGCGCACAAAACCAAATTTTTTCGACATTTCTGAAAAAAAATTTAAGGTAAAATTTTCCAAATTTTTTGGTTTTGTGCGCGTTCTTCACAATTTCCAGCAAGTTTCGATTTTTTGAAGATTTGGAAAAATTTCAATTTTTTTTTCAAAAATTGTCCCCACCTGATCGTCAGCATAGTGCTCTGCCTCATTCGGCTTTGACGTAACCTGTCTCTGATGGACCCTGTCTCTAGCCTAACCTAACCTAAACCAACATAATCTAACCTAACCAAACCTAACCTAACCTAACAACCTAACCTAAACTAACCTAACCTAACCTACGAGGTGCGATCGGAAAGTTTCCAGACTGCGCCTATAAAAACCAGTACACTTATCTCAGGTATTAAATTCATCCATCACCCTCGAAGTAGTTCCCCTGGGAGTGAACACAACGATCCCAGCGCCGCTGCCAAGCCTGGAAGCATCCCTGGAAATCTTTCTTTGTCAGCCTGTCAAGCACCATCTGCGATTCTGCCTGAATCTCTTCTATCGTCTCAAATCTCCTTCCCTTGAATTTTCATCTTTCGGAAGAGGAAGAAGTCACACGGAGCTTAGAAAGGAAGCTGGGGTCGGTTCTTGCAAGATCTTTCAGCTCCTGACAAACGAGAAGTCGATTCTGCTTCTGGGCCTCAGACAGGATGCGTCGCATGTGGAGTTCTTCCTTTAGAATCAGCTGACAGGTCCCATAGCCTATCCCAAAAATGTCGCACAAGTCGTTGATGGTACGACGTCGATCTTCGTAACAGTTTCGGGCGTTGTGCTCGAAGATGGTCGTCCAGAACGCTCGTCATCATCGACAGAGGTTCGGCCATTTTTAAAACGTGAATGCCACACAAAAGTTTGTGCACGACCCATTGCGGACTCCCCAAATGCTTGCTTTAGCATTTCATAGGTTTCCGTAGCCGTTTTGGCGAGTCTTTGGCAAAATTTGATTTGTTCATGAAAATCCGCCATTCCGAAATCGCAGGAGGGTCTGTGTAATGCACTACCAAAACGCCCGTAACTAAGAAACAAATGCTAATTCGATGATGCCGGCTGGCACACTGATTCACTATGAATGTAGGCCGCACCAAAAAGCGCACAAAACCAAAAAAATTGAAAAATTTCACCTTCAAATTTTTTTTTCTAAATTTTCAAAAATTATAGGTTTTGTGCGTTTTCACACAATTTCCAGCATTTCTTGATTTTTCGAAAATTTTGAAAAATTTCTATATCTTTCTAATCTTTCCCCAAGTGATGCCCGCGAAACTCGGTGAATGCCTCATCTTGTCTCTGTCGGACTCGGCCTCTTACCTCACGCGGTTGCTGCCTGCACCGGTGTCTGCTACAACCGGCCTCTGAAGGACTCGGCTTCTGCTGGTGAGGGTCTCGTCCTTACGTGTTGCTTGTCGCACCTGGACTTGTCAGAGACGGCACGTAACGGCCATGTCATACAGAGGCCGGTCCGCGCATAGCCCGAGTCAGGCACAGACCGCATTCGTCAGAGACAGTGCATCTGAAACAGTCCGAGAGAGACCAGTTCTGCAAGGCATGCGGTGGTGGAATTTTGAAAAAAATTCAAAATTTTCAAAAAATATAAAAGTGCTGGAAATTGACCAAAAAGCGCACAAAACCAAAAAATTTGAAAAATTTCACCTTCAATTTTTTTCTCAAAATTTTCAAAGATTTTAGGTTTTGTGCGCTAATCAGACAATTTCCTGCAATTTTTGATTTTTCGAAAATTTTGAAAAATTTCAATATTTTTATAATCTTTCTCGAAGTGATGCCCGCGAAACTCGGTGAATGCCTCATTCTGTATCTGTCGGACTCGGCCTGTTACCTCACGCGGTTGCTGCCTGCATCGGTGTCTGCAACAACCGGCCTCTGCAGGACTCGGTTCCTGCTGGTGAGTGTTACTTGTCGCACCTGGGCTTGTCAGAGACGGCACGTAAGAGCCATGTCATACAGAAACCGGTCCGCGCAGAGCCCGAGTCGTGCACAGACCGCTTTCGTCAGAGACACAGTACATCTGAAACAGTCCGAGACCAGTTCCGCAAGGTATGAGGTGGTGGAATTTTGAAATTTCAAAAAATCAAAAAGTGCTGGAAATTGACCAAAAAGCTTACGAAACAAAAAAAATTGAAAAATTTCAACTTCGATTATTTTTTCAAAATTTTCAAAAAATTTTGGTTTTCTGCGCTTTCAGACAATTTCCAGCATTTTTTTTATTTTTCGAAAATTTTGAGTATTTTTTAAACCCTCCCCAAGAGATGCCAACCAAACTCGGTGAATACCTCACCATGTCTCTGCCGGACGCGGCCTCTATCTCACCCGGTTGCTGCCTGCCTCGGTGTCTGCACCAATCGGCCTCTGCAGGACTCGGTCACTGCCGGTCTGTGCCTTTGCCTTACGTGTTGCCTGTTGCACCTGGTGATCTCAGAGACGGCACGTCAGACCCATGTCATGCAGATACTGATCCGTTCTGAGCCCGAGGCAGGCACAGACCGCATTCGTCGGAGACACAGCACATCAGAAACGTTCCGAGAGAGACCGGTTCTGCAAGGCATCAGGTGGGGAATTTTGAAAATTTACAAAATTTTAAAAAAATCAAGAAATGTTGGAAATCGTCCAAAAAGCGCACAA